ATCCTGGAGGAGATCCCGGAGCTGAGGAGATCCTGGAGGAGATCCTGGAGGAGATCCTGGAGGAGATCCAGGAGGAGATCCTGGAGGAGATCCCAGAGCTGAGGAGATCCTGGAGGAGATCCTGGAGGAGATCCCGGAGCTGAGGAGATCCTGGAGGAGATCCTGGAGGAGATCCTGGAGCTGAGGAGATCCCAGAGCTGAGGCGATCCCAAAGCTGAGGAGATCCCAAAGCTGAGGAGATCCTGGAGGAGATCCCAGAGCTGAGGAGATCCTGGAACTGAGGAGGCCCCAAAGCTGAGGAGATCCTGGAGCTGAGGAGATCCCGGAGCTGAGGAGATCCTGGAGGAGATCCTGGAGGAGATCCAGGAGCTGAGAAGATCCCAGAGCTGAGGAGATCCTGGAGGAGATCCTGGAGGAGATCCCGGAGCTGAGGAGATCCCAGAGCTGAGGAGATCCTGGAGGAGATCCCAGAGCTGAGGAGATCCTGGAGGAGATCCAGGAGAAGATCCTGGAGGAGATCCCACAGATGAGGAGATCCCAGAGCTGAGGAGATCCAGGAGGAGATCCTGGAGGAGATCCCAGAGCTGAGGAGATCCCAGAGCTGAGGCGATCCCAAAGCTGGGGAGATCCCGGAGCTGAGGAGATCCCAAAGCTGAGGAGATCCTGGAGGAGATCCAGGAGGAGATCCTGGAGGAGATCCAGGAGGAGATCCTGGAGGAGATCCCAGAGCTGAGGAGATCCCGGAGCTGAGGAGATCCCGGACCGAGTGGATCCCGTGCCAGGATGGCAGAAGAGCAGATCCGGAAGCCTCTGGAGTTCCACATCTCCAACAACACCCAGGTCACCCTGAAGTACCACAGGTGAGGATGGAGGAACACCAGAGGAACCCTCGGGGTGCACGGGGACAGCGCCGGTGGGATCTTCATCCCGGGCTGGGATCATCTCCAGGGGTTGGGATCATCTCCAGGGTTGGGATCATCTCCAGAGGTTGGGATCATCTCCATGGGTTGGGATCATCTCCAGCGGTTGGGATCATCTCCAGGGGTTTGGGATCATCTCCAGAGGTTTGGGATCATCTCCAGGGTTGGGATCATCTCCATGGGTTGGGATCATCTCCAT